ATATCCCAGCCATATTATTCACATATCGAGTCCCAACAGCAACAGTGTAGGGATGAGCACGAAATACTGTAAATTAAATACTGAATGGCAGTTCATGCAGGGAAAGAACATATCAATATTCACATATTCATTCAAAAACATGAAAATTCTTAATGGAGTACCCTTATTTTTTATTGAATTCCTAAAAAACAATATTTATAATGAATTTTAATAATTTTTTCGAATTTTTTTTAAGCTTTATTCTGACCGATTCACCTGATTCCCGATCCGGATCGCCGATTCGCCGATCCGAATCGGTTTTTTACAAGCCCGATCCGGGTCACCGATCCGTTTTTTAAACCATTGGATACAACCTTATAATGTAGAACTACGGATGCACTTCAAAAATCCATCGAAAAAAGTAGTTTTAATGTTGAAAAGACCTTTTGATTGATTATCTCGACATCAAGATGTACGACCATAAAAAACAAAAAGATTTTAAGTCTCAGAACTAGTGCATTTTACAACATATTATCTACATCGTCCATTTTCAAGGTTTTCATATGTTTATAGATCTACTTGATTTTAACCATTTTTGAAATTTTAAATTTTATAATTAGCTATAAAAATAGATTTTGAGATAATCCTAAGGACATTTTACATCCAAATTATATACCATGATAAAATTTGAAGGTGCGCCTTACCTTTACAGCTATTGATGCATCTGTATGCCAACTGCACCAGCTCTCGGACATCGAAACACGAGCCTCAATGGGATATTTGAGGTGCACTTTACTTCTATAAGGCCTTTATATAAATTCTTTCCTTATGTATTATATAGGAAAAAGTTTATATAAGGTTGCAACCTTAAAATGTGGAAATAAAGATGCACCTCAAAAATCCATTGAAAAATGTTGTTTTAATGTTGAAAAACCCTCTAATTGATCATCTCGACATCGAGATGTATAAGTATGAAAAAAAAAAAGATTTTGACTCCTAGAAATGATCCTATAGGAGTCTCCTCGACCCATATGTGAAAGACCTCAAAAGATCACTATTAAATTTAACACGGACCTATAGAAAAATCAAGTCTCATATCCATTATGATAACTTTTCTAGAGATCTGTACCAACTTTAATAGTGATCATTTGGGTCCTACACACATGGGTGAAGAGGAGTCCTATAAGACCATTAAAGTTGGCACGGATCTCTTAAAAATTTATCACATGAGCGTGATATTTGACTTTTCTATAGATCCGTGCTAAATTTAATAGTGATCCTTTGGGGTTCTACGTACATGATTGGGAGAGGGTCTTATGGGATTATTTCTTATTTTATAATTAGATATGAAAATAAATTTTTAGATAATCTTAACAACTTTTTCCACCAAAACTATGAGTGAAGATAAAATTTGGAAGTACGCCTTGACTGGATTGTTTAAGGTTCCAATCTTTAATTGGATTGTTTAACGTTCCAACCTTATAGAAACCGCCCACATATATATATATATATATATATAAAATATTGCTTTATCTCTGCCGCTCTCTAATTTGATTCATATTCCAAACGACTGTTCTAAGCAATGAAAACGGCATCCAAAAAACCAAAAGCTGACTCTCTCTCTCGCTCGATGAACCCTAATTTTTCATCTCAACGGCTACAGAGCAGCTAAAGAAGGTAATTTCCTCAGTTTTTCCTGTGTAAAATGATGAAAGAAACCCTTATGTATCCTTTTTTTAATGTGCCCTAGGTTTGACTATCAGAATTTTTTGGCGTTTTAATTGCCATTTTGATTAGTTAAGCATCGTGTTTAGTACGATTCAGTTCAACTCTGGTTTGAAGCTGTGTGTTTGATAATGGAATTGTTCCTAATTTGTGATAGATTGTGCCGGTTTGCATGGTTTATGTTATTTTATTGATGTTATGGAGGGTCAGGGTTACGGTACTTGGGTTTCTTCTCTTGTGTGGAATTGAGGATGGAATTATTGATTTTTAGGTTTTCATTGATGGGTTTTGTTTATGGGCCTTAATTTGGTCGTGCATTGTGGAGTTTCTCCTTTTATTTTTTGGTTTTCTTTGGTTCCTTGTTTTATTGTATCACCTCTCGGGTAATATGTTTTATTCCCTTTTTTTTTGGGGGGGATTTAAGGTTTGATTCGGCTCTATTTCAGCATCTGTTTCAGAAACTTTGGATATTTTACCTCGTGATATATAAGGTTTAGCTTCTATAGGATACGTTTTTTTTCTTCTGGGAATTTTTTCTTCTGGGAAACAATAATGGGTGTCATAATTGATAACATTATTTGCTAAATCTCCTAATTATGCATAATTGCAACCTCTCAGAGTTGATTGGGATGTGATCTACTGCTGTTTGATTCAATTTATGAAGCAAACATTTGATAAAAAAAAGGTGAGATTTTGTTTGCATTGTTCCTTTTAGTTTATTGATTGTTATTATTAACAATTTGTTGAATGCATATTATGCCACATGTGTGATAGTATCCAAAATGTTAGAACTTGTATATCATTTGAAAAGGTATAGGATTATTAATGTTAATACTAACATGAAAATTATGGTGCCTGGTCATTCAAGTAGAAGGAGCATTGCATTTTATTTGCGTAGACCTTGTATGTTTAATCCCTCCCTTTCCCTCCCTGTTTTGTTTCTAGCTCAAAACAGCATGCGTTTTCATGATATTTAAATTTTGGAACAACCATGCCAGTATTTCATCTCATACAGAAAACTGATATGGTAATTTTGTTTGTTAAATATATTGCAGATTGTTTCCTTCATTTAGAACTTGGTGGCCTTGTGCTCAAATAGACTTTGAATTGTGTGAGAACAATTCTTAATACGACAATTGTTAAGGAAATTTGTGCAAAGAAGATCCAAGAAGCTGATACCATATGCTATTTCTCTATGCTTTCTTCTCTTTTAAAAACGCGGGGGGACTTACATGGCTTTTGCCCCTCCGCAATTTCACCCTGAATGCCATAACGATTACCAACCTTTGCTGATGGAACAATCCACTAACTTATCTAACCAAGAACATGTCATAAGCCTTTCATGGGTCCCTGCGACCTCTTCAGGCTCTAGTGCTGGCCCTCTTGAATCAGATACATCTCAAGGAAGACCAGATACACGAAATACAAGGCAACCAAATGGTTCAGCCTCTTCCTCCTCATCCTCTTCATCTTCAAGAAATGGCTCTCTGGTTAGGAGAAGTGGCGATGGGTATGGTCGTCGCCGTAGGAGTCCTTTGAATTCGGGGTTATGGATTTCCATTGAGTTCACAATCGTTTTGAGCCAGATTATTGCATCGATTGTTGTGTTGGCATTGTCTAGGAATGAGAAGCCACAAGCCCCTTTGTTTATTTGGGTTGTGGGTTATGCATTGGGGTGTGTTGCTACGCTCCCCCATCTTTACTGGCGATTTATCCATCGAAACAATCGTGGGTCTGAGCAAGAGGCGACACGCATGCCTCTCAGTTCCAGTCAAAGCAATGCTTCTCAAGAAAATGCTTCTTACACTGCCATAACTGTCTCTTCTTCTCATGAAGACCAAGAAAGCCATACTACAACTGCAACCTCGTGGATTGGCCAAGATCGGGTCCCTTCTAATCCAAGGTGCACCTAAATTCTTTCTCATCTCTTTGAATTTGTGAATATTTGTTCTTGTTTATACTATTGATTGCTATTTTTTGAAGTTTGGAAAGGGTTTGCATTGACTATAATGCTTCGGTGCATCAAAGATTCGTTGCCATGTTATTCTGTTATATGAATGAAGTTTATGTTTTGTGCACCAGTCTCCTTAATGTCCAGTTTCTGCTTGAAGGCCTATGTAGGCAACTAAATGACAATTGAGCATGATAAATATCTTTTTGGAGAAAAATTTTGGGGCTACTTCTTGGAAAAAAATTGGTTTCTTGCTGCACCATCTGTGAAAAAAAAAGAAGGAAATATTACAATGGAAATATCATGATGATATTTACTTGAGTTGACATTTAGATTGTTGATAGGACTTATAGGCTTTTATTAATTGTATTGTTGTACCACAAGGAAGGAAACTTTTTTAAAATGCTAGTGGTTTGAAATGTTTTAAAACATATATTCTATGTGATTATCTCTCAGTGTTGGTTAGTGCATCTTAGTGTCCTTACAAAGGCACATGTTTAATCCTGTTTCTGATATGTTGGTTTGTGCATACTAGAGCCCATTGCATAGGCACATTTTTTTATTTTTTATTTGAATCTGGTTAACTTTGTTGCATAAAAAACAATAGATTACAATAGATCATGTTGGAGAAAAGAAAGGCATCCCACACGTTGGGTGCTCAGACAACAGGGGGGAGAGAATATATAGAGAACTACTTCTATAAGCGAGACAATTTGAACATAAAAAAAACTTCCTCTGTGAAACCTGCCAAAGAAAGAGGGAGGGGGCCAAAAAGAGGTAGGTAAATAGGGTCCAAGGGGGAGGGGAGAGCCGTTAACTCAGAGGTTGTTGGTAAACTCCTTGAGGCTGAGGTGGCCCATTCTGCAAGTTGGGTGACTCTGAGCTTTGAGAGTTTGTGGAGTTGGTAAGGGCAAGCTTTCTTGGTTGAGGCAGAGGGGATAGGCTGTTGAGAGCCTGTTCCGGCTCAGTCTTGTAAAAATTCACTGCTGGAAGAGGGGAGTAGAGCTGGGGGGGTAGGGTTGAAAGGGTCAGGGAAATGCTAGATCTTTTAGAGAGAGAGAAGAGGGTGGGTCGCCCGGGAGGTCCAGAGAGAGAGAGAGAGGAGGGGTGGAGTGGCTAGAGCTTTTAGAGAGAGAAAGGGGGGTGGTTAGCATGGGTTCTCCAGACAGAAAGAGAGAGAGAGGAGGGGTGGAGTCAAAATAAGGATTGGGATGAAAGGGGACAAGAGACCAAGGATCCTTTCTATATATTTTTGTCCTACTTTTTTTTTCACTTCTTTTTTTTTTTCTTTTTCATTTCCCCCATTTTTTTTTCTTTTTGGTAAAATATTTTCTTTTCCTTTTTTTTTCGACCTTTTTTTTTCTCTCTCTGAGCTTTAGAAAGGTAGAGAGAAGGGTGTGGGAGGTACAGAGAGATAGAAGGGGTGCGGTGTTTACAGAGAAAGGAGAAAGAGAAGGTGAGGAGAAGGGGATCAGAGAGGTGACGAGTTAATAGGTAGACGAAAAAGAGAGAGTGAAAGGGAGAGAGGGTGGATGGAACCAGAATAGAGAATAAGATGAGGGGGGAAAGTTGTTTTTTTTTCTCTTCCTTTTTTTTTCTTTCTTTTTTCCTTTCTTCCCCCTTTTTATTTTATGTTTTGGTGGGGGTTGGAGCTACATAAAACAGAGGGGGTGGGAAAAGGAGAAGAGGTAGAGTTAACAGATAGGGAGAGAGATAGAGAAATAGAGCGAAAGGGAGGAGGAGGGAGACCGGCACATGTTTGTATTAAATATATTTTATATGCTTAACATTGGTGGTAATATATTGTTTCAAACATTGGAGAGAGTATATATGTAAGAAATATTCGGTAGAACTTAAAATGTCCTTGACATTTTCTTTTCTTGCAATGACCATCTCTTAGAATGGTATCTACTTGACCTATCCCCTAGAATTCTGTACTTCATCATGCAATTATCCTTCAATGTAATGAATTTTGGGGATTTAATGTCATTGTCAGCTATGTGTTCCGACAGCATAATTGCATATTTCTACATACCCAAATGATGCAGTTTAGCTCTGGCCGAGGTTCAACTTGTTTTCAAATTGTGCACCTTAAAACTGTGTGAATGCATTTTTTATTTATCGAAGCAGTAGGGAAACACTTTTACTGATGAGCCGTGGAGTGGCATTATGGGCTGTGGGCAAGGGTTCCTTTTTACTAGTTGAAGGGATATCATGGGGTGATATGCGTTTGGTGATTATTAGGTGTTAGGGTTTTATTTTGTGTAAGAGACAGATTTTGGATCCCACATTCTGAGCGGTTATTGAAGTCGAACTTAGATGGTTGTAGAAGAGGAGACCTTGGCCATGCAGATATCATCAGACTCACTTGGTATTAACATGGGACTGTGCTTCTATGTTGCAGGGGTACTGGGTTTGTATTGATTCCACTAGGGATGAGAGCATTGCTCTGATACGATCCTTGTATTACTTTCTTCAATGTCTTCCTGTATGTGATTGGCTCTACTTGGATGCTGCTAGGTAGTTTTGACATGCGAGTTCCCATAATGTGATGTTTAACTCTTTTTGTTTTTCTTCAGTAGTTTTCTTTGGTTAAATTGTTTCTTTTAAAGAAAACCAAAAATAGAAAAGGTTCAACCAAGTGGGTAATGTGTCTCCCTTTTTGCATTCCCAGCACAATTTCTCTTATTTTGGGATTTGTATCGTTCTCCACTGTGATTGTCAAAGACTACAGGAGGGAGGAGGTTTACTTCGAAGTGTGCCTAGTCAGGAGGTGAAGCCTCATACCTCTTGAATTGTCTTCTTGACAACCTTACATAAACGTTTATTTGATGGCTTTGCTCCTTTCTGGTATGAGATGTTTGCCTGATACTTGAGGCTTGTGTCTCAGATGCTTACATCTGTTTATTGCAGCAGTTCTTATGGCCTCAGACTTTTTTTTGTCCGTTTGGTTTATGTCCACTAACTACAAAGCCAATTTCATAGATGATCTATTAGTGATTAGTGGGAACAGCAACACCCAATGGGTGCCCCACATCTTGTAATTTAAAAGAATTGACTTGGAACTCTGAGCCCTCTTCCCCCCCCACCCCTGTAACTTTTCTCTGGTAATTGCCCACTCATTTTGAAAGACTTATTCAATCATATCGTTTTGGGGCCATGCATCAGCCCTCAAAACCTGTTTGATATTTAAACAAGTGATTTTTCTTCTGTTTATTGTTAAGTAGCTGTTAACAAAGGGGTCTTTAGTTTAATATGAAAGTTTGGCTTGTTCATGACTACTAGCAACAACGAGGATTATGATTGAATAGGATAATATGGTTTTGTGAAATTGGACAATTACCAAAAGGACCTTTCTTTGACGCTTTAGATGTGTGATTCTTAGTGACAAAGACCTTGTATTCAGTTGGAGTTCTAATCACCAAAAATGATTTCCATTGGCATTTACTAAGGCATTGCCAGAGGAGTCTCATAATCATGGATTACTGGACCATCAAAACAGAAGATCATGAATTAGCTATGAAGGAGTCTCATAATCATGGATTACTGGATTATCAAAACAGAAGATCACGGATTATCATAAAAAGAAAAAACACACATTATTGAGATTGCCTCTCATACTCTTTCGCATTCTTTCTGAATCAACCAAGGTTTCAGAAGTCTGCTTGGACTGGGGCTCAGCGCTGCTTTTACTGAGTGACTCAGGCGAGTCTAAGTGGAATCACCCGATTCTGCCCTAGTCCACCAAGGGCTCAGGAAAAAAATCCGGAAAAATTGAAAAATAGAAATGCAATTAAATGCAAAAAAAATCAAGATCACAAAAATGAATTTGGATTAATAATGAGGGAGAAATCTGAGCATTGGCGAATGGGATAGGGTTCAGCAAGAAAACTGCATTTTTTCCCAAAAATCCAAGAATTTCGTGCCGAACCTCTCAATCTAGGCTTTGATCCATTAAATTAGTATGTGGATCTTCAATTAGAGCCAAATTTTGACATATTTGGATAATGATGGAGAAATCAAAGCATTGGTGGATTGGGGGAGGGTTGAACAAAAAACTGCATTTCCCCCCAAACTGATAATTTTTGGGCCAAATCTCTTAACATCTAGGCTTTGGGCAAACAAATTAGTGTGGCGATCATGTAGAGGGTTGAATCATTCAACTATTACCATATTTCTACACAGTTGGATAAAAAATGAGAGAGAAATCTAAGCATTAGCGGATTGGTATAGGGTTTAATAAAAATGTTTTTTTTTTTCTCAAGGAAAAAAAGATAAATTGTGAATGCATTGATCAAAATCAATCAACAGTAGGGCCACACAATAATTGTTTTGATCAATTATTGATCAAAACAGCTAAAACTTACAGCATAAAGCGGTAAAAGTGGGCTAGCAGAACAGGTTACCCACATAGCAAGTATGTACAGCTAAACTTATTACCCAAAAAAAAAACAGCAAAACTCGAGCACCCTGCTGAGGTAAAGTACCTCAGCTGAGTCAAATTTGGATAACAAATGATGAAGAAATCAAAGCATTGGTGGATTGAAGGAGCGTTTAACAAAAAACTGCATTTTCCTCCCTAATATCAGAATTTTCGGGCCAAATCTTTCAATATCTATGCTTTGGGCCAACAAATTACTATGGGGATCATGTAGAGGGTTGAATCATTCAACTATAACCATGTATCTACAAAGTTGGATAAAAAATGAGGGAGAAATCTATGCATTAGTGGATTAGTGTAGGGTATAACAAAATACTATTATTGATTAAAACAGCTAAATATTACAGCATAAAGCTGTAAAAGCAGCCTAGCAGAACAGGTTACCCACGTAACAAGTATGTGCAACTAAACTAGGCTTGGCACCCTGCCAAGATCAAGTAACTCAGCGAAGTCCGAGTTGACTCGGTCGAGTAGTTGAACAATAGGACCAACGAAAGAAATTGTTGTCTGCCATCTGTTACGTAAGTCTCTTGACAAATGGCTTTGGATGCTATGCTAGACACATTATCTTCCTTGCATATACTTCTCTTATAAGTGACTCTAGATGCGAATATTTCATCTTGCACGTGTACTTGACAAGGCATCTAAGCTCTCTTGAAGGCACATTCTTATTTATTTTCTGCTTTTTATCTTGATTCATGTGCTTTTGTACTTATGATTGCATGCTTTTCTTCTCCTCTTCCCCTTGTCACGACCATCTTCCTTGCGATACAATTCTACCCGCTTGCATGTCTCTTCTTTGGTCTTCTTCAGTATTAACTCATCTATAGCAGCTTGCAGAATGAGACAATTTGACATTTATGTCTTAGTCATTGGGCCCTTAAAATTATCCATAGCAGGCACACTCTCCACTTTGCATTGTTCATTGTTGATTAGCTTCAACTGTCTTACCCAGAGAGAGATGGCAACATGGTTTTTGTTTCCTCTGTTTTCATGCTTGTAATTGTGATTTATCGTTGTCATCTATTTTGGAACTTGGTAAACTTCTTTTTTCTCCTCACATTTGCTTGCAATAAGTAATGAGAGTGTGGCTTTATATTTTAAAATTTACTCATGTTTCTTGCCTTAATTTTTTGGGTGGGGGTTCGGGTTGGGACCCATTGGGTGCATGCAGTGCTATGAAGCAAACTCAGATTCATTACACCTACCAAGGGGTATAAAACTGCATTGACTGCTAAATGGATATTAATAGGTGTCCAATAACTAGGTGGCGGAATTTAAAGAATGAGAAAATAGACTTGTTTAGGGATAAATTAGTTAAAGAAGGAAAATTGAACTTTGAAGAAGAGGTCAATGGTATGTGGAATGAGATGGCTGATTGTATTAAGAAAGTGGCAAAAGAAGTTGTGACCTCCACATGATCTCTATTGATCTAGAGAAAGCTTCTGATAGAGTACCTAGAGATTTGATTTGATGGCTGTTGGAAAATAAATGAGTCTCCAGACACTACATCGACTTAGTGAGAGATATATACAAGGGAGCACAAACTAATGTATGAACAACTAGTGGAGAGATTGGTGAGTTTTCAGTGACAATAGGTCTGCATCAGGGGTCAGCATTGTGCCCATACCTCTTTTGTATTAGTTATGGACGACATAACCGGGCACTAACAAGATGAGGTATTGTAGTGCGTGTTGTTCGCAGATGACAAAGTTTTGATTGATGAGACTCGAAACGACGTCTACACAAAGTTAGAACTTTGGAGGAATGCTTTAGAATCTAAAGGTTTTAAAATTAGCCGGACAAAAGTAGAGCATATGGAATGCAAGTTTAATAATAATAGGAGTAGAGACGAGGAAGTAGTTAAAATTGACAGCCAAGAAATACCAAAAAGAGCGCACTTTTGATATCTTACGCCGATAATCTAGGAAAATGAAGAGATTGAGGAAGATGTCGCACATATAATTAGAGTTGATGGGCGAAGTAGAGATGTGCAATCAGATTTTTATGTGATCGCTGCATACCAATGAAGTTGAAGAGCAAGTTCTATATGATAGCTGTGAGACCAACTTTACTTTATGAGGCGGAATGTTCGGCGATCAAAAAACAACATACTTATAGAATACAATATAAAAAAAAAAAACTATAGATTGAGTGTAGCTAAGATGAGTGTACTTATAGAATTGACGACCAAGAAATTTCAACCATATTTTTTCTCACTACTTTTATTTATATCCTTTTGGGCCTTCCCCTTGCCTTTTTAGCGCCTTTCACTTGAACCAAATCACACCTCCTAACCAGTGTTGTGTTAGGTCTGTGTTGCATATGAGTATCTTAGGTGCCCATCCAAAATTGACCTTTAAGAAACAAAGCGTCCATACATGATTAGAGGAGGTTGGAGGTCAGTTTTATATCCCAAAACCACCTTCTTCCTATCCCTCTTGAGGGTGTGGAATTTATTTGGTCCAATCACTCCCCAAACTGCACCTTATCCAAGTTGGACAAGTTCCTCACCTCCCTTGAATTGGACAATCTCTTTTGTGGAACCCATTCCTATGTCCTCCCCAAGCCTACTTCAGACCACCATCCTATTTTACTCGACACTCAAACTGTCCAAATGGGACCTAAACCTTTTCAGTTTGAAATCACTTGGTTCGAGTAGGCCGACTTCTCAGCTATGGTTCACTCGAAATGGGATTCCTTTGCCACCCAAGCTCATGGATGTTGGCTTTAGGCTACAAAACTAACTCCAACTCCTTAAGCACTCCTTGAGGTCGTGGAGTGCCCAACTACCCGGCAACTTTCGAACCCAAAAAAGAATCGTTGCTTTAATCCATTCAATTATAAGACTCCAACTAAGAACATCGAACCCTCTCTTCCTCTAAACTGGAGCTCAGGTCCACAGCTAAACTTGACTACAGTCTTCTCCTCAAGGAGGAAATCTACAGGCCCCAAAGATCCAAGGTTAGGTGGCTCAAGTATGGGTATCTCAACACTGCTTACTTCCAGAAGGTTGCCAACTACCGGAGACGAGAAAATTCCATCACCCATCTCAAGGTTGGTGGTCGAATTCTTGACAATCCTCACCATTACTAGCAGGCGGCTATAAACGTTTTCTCCCAACTCTTCTCCACTCCCTTAGGTCCTAGACCCGATATGGATGACTTCTCCTTTCCTTCCCTTGCCCTTGAAATAGCGGCCTCTCGTGAATGATCTTTATTTGAGGAGGAAGTCCTAGGGGCTATCAAAGACCTGAGCTTTGACCGGGCCTCAAGACTTGATGGGTTCCCAATTGCCCTCTTTAAGGCATTATGGGAAACTTTGACGCCAGTCATCATGGCTTTCTTCAAGGAATTTCATTCTAGGGGAATCATCCACCAAGCTATGAATTCCACCTTCATAGCCTTGGTCCCGAAAATAGAAGGAGCTGAGGAACTAAAAGACTTCGGGCCCATACTTTTAGAATTTTTCCAAAGTCCTGGCCTCCCGTGTTAGCCTGGTTTTACACTGGGTCATGTCCCCATCTCAAGGGACCTTTGTCAAGGATCGCCAAATCCTTGGTGGGGCTGTTACTGCTCATGAAAATATTCATTTACGCCACCTACAAAAAATCCCAGGACTCATCATAACACTTTATTGGGAGAAGGCGTATGATCATGTTGATTGGAAGATTCTTGACGAAACCCTCTGTTGAATGGGCTTTGGGGTTACATGGAGAAATGGATCCAGGATTGCATCTCGAAACCTTTTTTCTTTGTGCTTTTCATTGGCTCCCCCAAGGGGTACTTTCAGGCTTCAAGAGGCCTGCGATAGGGTGATCCTTTGTCACCCTTCCACTTCGCCATAGTAGCTGAGGTATTCAATGCCTCTTTATTGTGGATGTATCAAGCAGCGCTTCTTTCGGGTTTCAATATAGGAAGGTCCAGCCCTCTTGTAACCCACCTTCAATACGCAGACGATACTCTTTATCTTTTGCAATGCCTCCCATTAGCAAGTCAATAACCCGCTTCTCTTCCCCAAATGTTTTGAACTTGCCACTGGTTTCAGAATCAACATGTATGAATAAAAAATGACAGCTGTTGCTGCGGGCTACCCCTTAGTCCACAGCCTCGCTGCCCGTTGGGGGTGCGCTGTTGATAATCTCCCTTCAGCCTACCTTGGGCTTCCCCTTTGCCTCGGCATACCTAGACTTGACCTTTGGAGCCCTATAATTGATAAATGCAATACGAGGCTTGCAGCTTGGAAAGGGAGATTCTTATCCTCAGCTGGAAGAGTGTTACTCATCAAGGCCACCCTCTCCAGTATTCCTCTCTTCCTGATGTCTCTCTTCCTCATCTCGGCCCCAGTTCTTACAAGATTGGAAAAACTCATGCGGGACTTTTTTTGGTCAGGCGAAGGTGGCCATAAATTCCACCTTATCTCCTCGGCCAAAGTGTGCCTTCCCAAGTCCCGTGGTGGTCTTGGCATTTGTAGCCTAAGAGCCACCAATCTGGCCATGTTAGGCAAATGGTGGTGGTGCTATGCCATGCAACCTAATCACCTGTGGAGAGAGGTAGTCTCCCGTAAATACTGCCAACAAGACCACAAGTGGCTATCCTCTATCAGAACTACATGCAACATTTCACGATTTTGGCAGTCTCTCCAACACTGTCGCAACCTTTTTTTTCCTACAAGGGATCCGGTACCGTCCAAGGTCGGGTAATACTATCTCTTTCTGGCATGATATTTGGATTGGGGATAGCCCTCATAAAGAATTCTTCCCTTCTCACTTTCGGCTTGCCCTTGATCCCAATTCAACTGTGGCCGACTGTTTTGCCAGCAATGGGAACAGTAGAACTTGGAATCCCAATTTCAAACAAGCCCTCAATGATGAAGAGATAGGGCATTTTCCGGATCTCTCAGCCCTTCTACACTCAATTTTCTTCCCTTGTATGGGGAAGATAAAATCATTCGGTCCCCTGCCTCTTTGGGAATTTTCTCAGTCGCTTCACTCTACTGAGCCATTACCACAACCTCGCCCACTCTCAATGCTGCCCTCCATAACTGCCAAAGCCTGGTTCCTCTCCTTTCCCCAAAGATCCAAGTATTCAGTTGGATCACTCTTGATCACAGGGCCTTAACCCTCGACCAACTATAGCAGAGGGGCCTATCCCTTCCTAATAGATGGGTTATGTGCTTCTCGGTCAAGGAGATTAACTCCCATCTTCTCATCCATTGTGAGGTAGCTGCTGCCCTTTGGACCGATGTACTTAACCTTTTCAAGTGGCATTGGGTCACCCCCCATTCCATCCCCCAGCTCTTTTCCGCCTACCTGTGTACTCCCTAGAACAATTCTGGTTATTTCCTTTGGAAGGCCTCCATTGCTGCCATTTTATGGACAATTTGGCTTGAAAGAAATAGCAGAATAATTAGGGCGGAGGTACCTTCTATCCCCTCCTAGTTGATAAGTACCACCCTTTCGCCTCTTTCTGGGCTAGAAACCACAAACTCCTAAAAAATTACTCCTTTGCTGGCCTATTTCACAACTGGCATGAGCTTCTATATCTGAATACCCCCAGGATCTCTGGCTCCTCCTTGTGCCCCTCTGGGATTGCGGGGATCTTCTGAAATTCTGAGGGCTCCACCCTCCTTTCTTTATCCCTGCCTATTGGAAATACGGATTCCATTGTAGCGGAGGCCAAGGTCTTATTTGAAGGGCTCCAAAGATTTGACCCCACCTGGAACACAGTATTGGTAGTTGAAGGCGACTACAACATCATTACATTGGCCTCTAGGGCTGCTTCTTGGCCCTGGAGGCTAGATCTCATCTTCGATGAAATTTCTCAGATTTCAAGCATGTTTATGGTCACCTGGAACGGCGTTTTCAGAGAAGCCAATGAGACAGCGGATTCTCTAGCTAGGGAAGGAGCAAGCCTTAATGCTACAATGGGATCTGTGGGCTTTTTTTAAGCCTGTGCTCCCCTCCTTTTATCCTCTTGTGAATCTGATGTAAAGCATTTTTGGACCCTTAGTGGTTTTTTGTATAGGGCACCCAACTCCAGGGTTGCCTATTTCTTTTATACACTCTTAAGTGTAACCTTCTGTTGATATCAATACAATTGTCAACTTATTAAATAAAAACATTTACTTCCATGGAGACATTTCTACAAAAAAAGGTCAATCAGTGTGTCTAATTCCTAAAGTGTTAGACAAAGTGTATCAGATCCATGATGTGTTGACACATTTAAAAAACTGTGTTCACACTTGTCTAAGTTACATAGGTGATGCCTTAATAGGCTGCCTGTGCTTATGGGCAAGATGGATGTCCAAAGTACAGAAAGAGAAAGTCGATCACCATATACATTGGAACTTTATTGATCATATCTTGGGTATGACGAGTATTGATGACTGATGGAGAAAATGGATATCAGCTTTCTTATTGTCTGCATCTTCTTTTTTCCCTGGTGTGGTCAGTGTGGCTCCTAGAGGAAAAGGTAGCTAGATTCCTCGCGTTCTCATCTTTTGTGATCTTAGAGGCGCTTAGCTGAAATCGCAGGCTAGATAATAAATTTGTGGAAAAGCATGAAGGGGATTGATTGTGGTGGACAATTGGCATATGACAAAGTTTGCGAGTAGGTTAATTTTCAATGTCAGCATCCTTCTGTTCAAAGAACGGCACTTATTTCTGCATCCTTGAGGTTGCATGGTTGAACCCAACTTATCTTAAGTACTGGTACAAGGTTCTAGTTCTTGAACGGTGCAATGTGCTCGTCTGTGTACATGAATGTGTATATGTATTAGAGAGGGAAATTCCAATTGGGATTCCTAGGCATTCAAGTAGGAAAATAGAGTTCTAGTTAAATTCATAGACTTCGGGAAAATTGATTCCTACCAAAGCCCTAATTTCTTGAGGTTACATCGATTTATATAAACCGTAGATTTTAGAAAATTTGATTTTTATAAAATTACTAAGTTTTTGAGGTTGTCAAGGTTTTTGTAATATTTAAATGAACTCCAAATATAATTTTTTTTAAATCTTTTAGGGAAACCTTATCTGTGTGTGTGCATGCACTAGAGTACAAACTCGCCATGTTGGATACTATAATACAGATGTTAATTGAAAGCAGAAAAGTTGTAAAAAGGAAAAGGGGAGCATAATGATTTTCTTGAGGTCGCAGAAGAGCATATCCTTTTATCATGTGTTTATGAGAAGCTATCATATGTTGACACTCAAGCAAGAGGGGGATATTTCATGTTGACAATCAGAATACAGTTGTGCTTCGCTACAAGTTGTACCTATTGCATTCATTCTGTATTTCTACATCTGTAACATTTGCTGAAAAACATTTTGTATAGCAATGGCCTGATGTCTTATGCCTTCTTTCCCTGTTCATCGTGTTATAATGTGGTGTTTGGTGTCTTGTAATTTTAGGAAAGTTTAGTCGGACAATGTCATTGTGCTTTATATACATATATCTCCAAAATTCCAGCTGCTTTGCTGCCTCTACTAATTTCTTACTGAGGAAAGTGATGTTCTCTCCTCTTATGGTTCTCCTTGGCATCTTTTCATTCTCGTTTCTCATTTCATGTCAATTCATAAATGTTAATACGAATTGATTGTAAAAGAAGCTTGTCCTCTTTTTATACATTGGGGCATTTAGTTGATTGCTTGTAATTGCTTATTTTTTTTCCTAAAATGATTTGCAAGTGCTGATCTTTTCTTTAAGAAAAACTGGTGACTGCACATAATCTAAAAAACTGGATGTGAATTTGCTTGTGCTGCTTAATATTTATGATCTGGATTAGTAATCTTTCTTTTGTTAATGTACAACTATTCTATTTAATGATCTAATGTATGTTATATTGATGTATTTATGAATTTAAATCTTTACTGAGGTGAGCAACCAACTGGTGCTTTTGCTATTGTTCCACAAGCAATGTGAATGGTTTTAAGGTTTTTCCAAGAATCCTCATTTTCATTGGAGAAGATAAAGGGGATTATTTTGGTTTTGACTTTTAAGACAAAAAAATGAAATGAATTTGAGAAACATCCCCTTTTTTTTATCTTAAAGGTTTTAAAAAAAAAAAATCAGAAAAAATGGCATTCTAATCTTAACTTTGACAATTTAAAATGGGCCTGCTTGTCTTTCTCTTTACTTTCTAGCCGTTTAATTACCTGAAGAAGTGGGTTTCTCATGTTACAGGCTTGGCATGATTATGGACCACTTCAAAATGGCATTGGATTGTTTCTTTGCAGTGTGGTTTGTGGTAGGCAATGTGTGGATCTTTGGAGGTCACTCTTCTTCCTCTGATGCTCCCAATCTGTATAGGTACGATACTCTGTGTCTCTCTTGCCTCCAATCCTCCCCCCTCCAAAAAAAAAAAAAGACAAAATGAGAAGAAGAGAACTTCTCCTGTTTGAATCTGATCTCTGCCTACATAATTTCTTTTCAGGTTGTGTATAGTGTTCCTTACTTTCAGCTGTATTGGCTACGCTATGCCATTCATTCTGTGTGCCACTATTTGTTGCTGCTTGCCTTGCATTATATCCATCCTTGGTTTCCGAGACGATCAGTCTAGAACTCGGGGAGCTACCACTGAAGCCATTAACTCTTTGCCAACTTGCAAGTTCAAGGCAAAGGGTGTATGTGAAAGAAATAGAGAAAGAGAAAATGGAGAGATAGATTCAGAGGTAGGAGAAGGTGGTGTAATAGCAGCTGGCACTGACAAGGAGAGGATTGTTTCAGCAGAAGATGCTGTAAGTTCTCTTCATTACCGTAATCAATAACGGATGGTATGACCATACAGTAGTGTATGTTGTATGTACAATATGGGATATCCACCATTCGTTTCTGACAACATGCAATGGATATTAACCAGACTTTCTAATATCCACCATTAGTTTCTGGGAGATTACCATGCACTAGAGGTGTATGTGTACTTTCCTTTCAATATACTACAACAAAAAGGCGGACTTGCAATTCTTTTCAAAGATTACTTCATGATGGTAATTTTTAGGAGCTTTCATATTTGTGTTTTTCTTTGGAATAATCTTGGAAAAATGTTTGGGTAAGCAATAAAATTACCAAAAAACAAATAAACTGTAATTAGAAGTGGTAAAATATAATGAAAATCTGCGTCATTGTGTTTTTTAAAAGTGATTTTCTTGTGAGTTTACTTTTTTCTTGTAATTTGTAACTTCTTATGGGTTTTATAACCTTGTTTCAGTTTTAGTTTGTAACTTTTTGTCGTTTTTTTTTTTCTTGGGAAGTAACTTGTTCTAGTTTTGTTGGTCTTCTTATAAGTTTGTAGTTTTTTAGTTAGATTGTATTTCTTTTACAAGCATATGATTTGCGTTTTTCTTTTATAACTTATGTTTCTTTTCAAGTTTTAATCTATATATTGAACAAAAAAACGAGGAGGGAAAGAGAAATAAGTTGTGAGTCCACATAGAGGAAAATATGATGAAATATGTTTTAGGGAATTATCAAAATACCCATAAGCGATGAATTCTTCAGCATTTTATCCCTTTGCAGCTATTCCAACTCATGATCATGTGTCTTTGGATAGGTGTTTGAAATTCAATCAAAAGATGTGGGTCATCATCATCAAAGCTTTTCCCCAATTATTTGGGGTCGGCTATACAAATTCTGATCCGCCATTCTACTCTATCAAGGACCATACCCTCAATGACGTCAAATACCTCATATTTTTTCTCACTACTTCCAAACATATCCTTTTGGGCCTACCTCTTGCCCTTTTGAGCCTTCCACTAGAACTAACTTGCACCTCCTAGCAGGTGTTGTATTAGGTTTTTGCTGCACATGGCCAGCCCACCTAAGTCTACTTTCTCTCATCTTATGTCTTATTAGAGCCACACCTAAGTTCTCTATAATGTATTTAATATCGAATTCTATCATTTCTTGTTTTTTCACTTATCCATCTCAACATCCTCATCTCAGTTATATTCATCCTATAGGTATGTTGTTTCTTGTCCACCCAATATTCCGCCCCATAAAGCAAAGCTAGTCTCACAAGTCTCTAATATAACTTCCCTGTTAGCTTCATTGGTATGCCGTGTTCACACAAAATTCCAGATGCACATCTGCACTCGCCCACCCAACTCTAATTATATGTACAACATCTTCATCAATCTCTCTATTTTTTTGGATTATCGATGCAAAATATCGAAAATACGCTCTTTTTGGTATTTCTTGGTTGTCAATCTTAGCTACTTCCTCGTCTTAGCTCCTATTATTACTAAACTTGTATTTTATATACTTTGTCTTAGTCTGGGTACTTTTAAAACTTTAGATGCTAGAACATCACTCCAAAGTTTTAATTTTGTGTTAATGCCGCTTTGGGCGGTCTCATTGATCAAAACTATGTCGTCTGCGAACAATGTACACCACAGTACTTCATTTTGTAGGTGATTAGTTAAGTTGTCCCTAACTCAGACAGAGGTAGAACTATTGTCACTGAAAACGCACTTGTCTTTCTACTAGTTGCCTCGTATACTAGTTAGCACTCTTTCATACATATCTCTCACTAAGTCGATATAGTATCTGGAGATTCATTTCTTTTCCAACACCCACCAAATTAAATCTCGAGGTATTCTATAATGAGATTTCTCTATATCAATGGTCTTTTACATTCGTCCTAAATTTCTCAATAAGTTACGTAAGTAGGAAACAGTGTTTCAAAAAGCGCTAGGCGGCACCGAGGCGGTCGGGGGGGTCCCGGCCACCCAGCACCTAGGCAGGCACTCAGAACTTGGGTGGCCCAGTAGGATGTTTTTTTTTTGTGGGTTTTCTCTGTCTAAAATAGCCTCTAATAGGTTTTAGGATTCAAATGAACCTAAAACCCATAATTTTACCCCTTTAGTATTAAAAAAATGACCTAAAAATACCTTAAAGGAGCCGCATTTCTGCCCCTGGGAGGGGCGTAGATCAGGTGGGCACCCAGGGATATCCGCCTAAGCGGCCGCCCAAGTGATGGGCGGTCCGCTTTTTGAAACTATGGTAGGAAAATAGCATCAATTGTTGACCTCCCTAGCATAAAATTGAATTGGTTTTCTGATAGACTCTTTTCATGCCTTAGTTGTTGCTCAGTCACTCTCTCCCATAGCTTCATATTGTGGCTCATAAGTTTGATCTCTCGATAGTTCACACAATTTTGTATGTCTTCATTGTTCTTATAAATAGGTATCACAATGTTTTTCCTCCATTTGTTTGGCATTTACTTTGTTCTCTAGACCTTGTTGAACAATTTGGTCAGCCAATCAATGCGGATCTTCCCCATGCACTTCCAAACTTCTATTGAGATACCATCTGGTCCTAAAGCCTTTCCTTTTTTCATCTTCTTCAAGGTTTTTTCGCTTCTGATATCCTAATCTTACGAATGTATCAATGACCTCCGCCCTCATTTATGCCAATGGTTCCTTCTATGTTGTGTTCCCACTGTATTCGTTATTTGATAATTTTTTAAAATAAACTCTTTACCTTCCATTCACCTCTTCATCCTTCCCCAAGACGCTTTGATCCTCACTATTAAGGTATTCAATATGGTCTAGGTCCCTACACTTTTTTTCTCTCTTTTTTGTTAATTTGAAGACATCTTTTTCACCTTTTCTTGTTATGGATTATTATATGCCTTACGTTTAACTTTACTTACTATTTGTTTAACGTTTTTCTTAGCATTTTTATATCCTTTTAAGTTTGGGTGCGGTTTGTATTGAGCCTAGGCTATAACAATCAAATTAGGGCCTACCTTCAAAGAGTGTCGATAAATGTGGTTTCACTACTGGAAATCTTAGTGATAGCCTTAAAATATATTTTCATAGTTATTTATAAAGTTCAAAGCTTAAAAAATAGTGTAGATCGACAAATCTATAAAAAGTTGAAAATCTTGAAAATTGACAGTCTAAAAATGCGTTACAAAATGCACTATTTTCAAAACTTGAAATCCATTTTTTTCTCATGTCCATGCATCTTGATGTCAAGATGATCAATTTGAAGATATTTGGGCATCAAAACAACCTCTTCTAGTGAACTTTTTGAGGTAGGCTGAGCTTTGGCTCGATATAAACTTTTCCCTTTAAGTTTTGATCATTTCTATTACATTGTCAAGTTTTATTATATGATCGTTTTTCACTAATGGCCTTTTAAACCTCATCACTCTACTACAAAGTTTCTTTATCGGAATATATTTTACCTCTCTCCTAAAACTTCTTTTGCCACCTTTTTAATACAGTCAGCCATCTCATTCGACATGATATTGACCTCATGTTCAGAGTTCTATTTTTTTCCTTTAACTAGTTTATGCCTAAATAAGATTATTTTCTCATTTTTAAAATTCCACCAACTAGTTCTTGGACACCTTTTAATTTCACGCCTTCTCTTCCATCTCTTATGCAGACGTCCATAATCATGAGCCTTTGTTGCATAATCAAACTCTCTTGGGATAAACTTACAGTCTTTACATGGTGGTCGATTTTCCTTCTTAACTAGAAAGAAGTCTATCTAGCTTTTATTTGATCCACTTTTGTAGGTTATTAAATGTTTTTTGTTTTTTAAAGTAAGCGTTTGCTATTGCTAGGTCTTAGGCCATAGCAAAATATCTAGAATAGCCTCACCCATCCCATTGTTTTTACCGAACCCATATCCCCTATGTACCGCTTCATATCTTCTACTTTTCATCCCTACATGACCATTTAAGTCCCCTCTTAAAAAGGTCCTCTCTCCATTTGGTATGTCTTGGATTAGTTTCTCCCAGAATTGTCTCTTAGTTCTATCCTCTAGACCTACTTGTGGTGCATAAGTAGTAATTGCATTAATTATCTCTTCTTCTAATACAAGTTTAATTAATATGAGCCTATTACCTATTCTCTTGATATTAACTTCTTTATCTTGTAAATCTTTGTCTACTATTATGGCTACACCATTTCTATTGTTATTCTTTTCTATATACTAAAGTTTATACCCATCTATTTCTTTAGCTTTTTCCCTTTCCACTTAGACAAGCTATGTTTACTCTCCTTCGTCGCATTGTATCCACTAACTTCATATTACTTATAAGCATTCCTATATTCCATGCGGCTAGATGAATCTTATTCTCTTGGACTAGCGTTTTACTGCGCTCGTCCAGAATGTTGCAGGAGCTCTTGCTGTTTTTCACCACAATCGGGTATTGTTGCAGCGTGTTGCTTATGGGAAATTTCCTAGTTAACCGTTGCTCATTTCTCATTTTACCTAGGTTTCGTGAACGCATCGCTTACAGGGAATGCCCTAGCATAAGAAGATAGCTTAGATTCAAGATCTGTGGAATGTTTTGGCAAAGTTTTATATTGGCTGTCTAAACCCACCTCCTTTATCTGCGCTTGGTATGGGTTAAAAGAAAGTTTAAGGTCCTCATCCTTCTTAGACCAAATTAAAAGATATGGGTACAATGTTAAATAGTTCATCTCTCATGGGTATTTGGCTAAATTTCCCTTTTCGATATAAAGATATTCCTCTGATAAACAAAATCATCATGAATCAACCAAACTGACTTTATTGGATTTACTTGTATGTTTTTATGATCTACAAGCTTATGTTTAATTTACAGATTTGTTGGAGCTGTGAATAACCGAACCACCCGATTTCTTTTGTTGGTGTTCATGTTTCTTTTATTTCTTTTGTCCTTTTTATTTCTGATTTTTTTTTCTTGATATTGTAGTTTGGTATGTTATAGTAGATGCTTTCCTCCAATCCCAAGTTCAAGAAAAGACGTGGGTGTATGGCTTTAATCCTTCATAATTAGGAGCTTCAGCTTCAATCTCCTCTCCTCTCCTTTCCCCAGGGTTATGCATGTCTGCCCCGAGTGCATCTTGAATTATAGTTCTTTGTCAGATACAATTTATTATGTAAAAGACAACCTTAATCAGGAAAGAAAATCCTAAAAAAGAATATAAAGTTGGCCTTAAAATACCAACCTTTTGGCCCTAATATGCAGGTCTGCTGTATCTGCTTGGCCAAGTACGAAGATGAGGAGGAGCTTAGGGAGCTTCCATGCTCCCATTGCTTTCATGTTGAATGTGTCGATACGTGGCTCAAAATCAATGGTTCATGCCCCCTTTGCAAGCATGTTGTTGGTGATCCAGGTGGTTCGGGCCATGCCCCTGACCAGGCCCCCAGCAGGCCACGCATTGAGAGGAGAAGTGGGTCTGGTGTGGCTGCATCTGATGTGTATGGGGCCACATTGTTCTGATCGCGAAGCCTGTTTCTCTCTCTGGTTTACTGTCTTTCTCTCTCTGAATATTTGTGAGTGTTTAATTTGGATACGATGCTCAGAGACTAGAGATTGACGGGACACGCTCTCTCTCTCTCTCTCCCTCTCTCTTTCTCTCTCCTCTCTTCTCCCCCCCAAAAATCTGAGCATTGGTAACTATTTTGTCCGGAAGTGAACAAGTTCAGAGAGTTTGGATCTCTCTCTGGTGAATATTGGTGCTTGCTCAGTTTGGGGGTCAAGCTCAGCGAGCCGGATCATTTCTTTTTGTGAAAGTGTTGGTGAAAATATGTTTTGGTGATCAACATCCAAGAGATGGCTGGAGTTGCAGATTAGATGGAAAGTATTTGAAAATACTCCAATTCATGCTGCTAGTACCACTAGAGGGCCCTTTCGATTTTCGACGGTCCATGCATAGTTGGGAACTTAATTTACTTTCTGCTGGGGATGGTGGTGTTATATATGATAATGAAGCGTTCCAAGTATTCTCAGAAGCCTCTTTTCATGTGACTTTGATCAATGACCCCAAAAGTTTAGTCATGTATCATAAGCAAACATAGTAAAGATGAAGCATTTGAGATCTTTGGATTTTGAATTTGATGATGAATTTATGTACATAAGCAATTATCCCGCAGTTATTTGGTGCTCAAAATGGTTGGAAGATAGATTTCCATTTTTATGGGTTACTGTGAGCCGACTTTGCAGATCTCTTGGGTCCTTGCTGATGTCCCTGTCTTGTCTCGTGCTGCCCTGCTGTGCAGGAACCTCTTTCTCACACACTTACACATGCTGCTGGCACACAAAATTATTTTGGTTTTTTGAACTAGATTTTTATATAATTAGATGAAGGGTGTGGTTTATATAAGGTATCAACATTAAACAATCGGAGTAAAGTGTATATCTAAATTTTCTTGTTATGGTGCTGGAAATCTTTATGAGGGTGCGGTTTGTATAGAGCCGAGGCCCTAAACAATCAAATTAGAGCCCACCATCAAATAGTGTTGAGAAATATGTTTTCAATACTGAAATTTTTTTTAATGGGTGCAGTTTGTATAGAGCTTAGGCTCTAAACAATCAAATTAGAGCCTACTTTCAAATAGTATTGAAAATGTGGTTTTAATATTGGAAATTTTTGTGATAGCCTTAAAATATATTTTTATACTTATTTATGCAGTTTAAGCTTCAAAGATGGTATAGATCGACAGATCTATGAAAACTTGAAAACCTTGAAAATTGACGGCTCAAAAATTTGTTAAAAAATATACTATTTTCAAAACTTGAATCTATTTTTTTCTTGTGTCCATGCTTCTTGATGTCAAGATGATCAATTTGAAGATATTTGAACATCAAAACAACCTAGTGAAATTCTTGAGATAGGCTCAAATTTGATTGTTTAGAGCTTCGGCTCTATATAAACTTTTCCCTTTTGTAATAGCTTTAAATATACTTTCATCTTTAATTATAAAATTTAAAGCTTAAAAAATAGTGTAGATCAAGCATATCTATGAAAATATGAAAATCTTGAAAATTGATGGTCAAAATGTGTGTTACAAGATGCACTATTTCGGAAATTTGAAATCCATTTTTATCTCATGTTCGTGCATCTTAATGTCGATATGATCAATTTTTGTGGTAGGCTATAATTTGATAGTTTAGAGCTCAGGCTCTATATAAACTTTTTCCTTTTTATAATGACCTGAAATCTGTTTCAAACCTATAATTATAAAATTTAAAGCTCCAAAAAAATAGATCGAACAAATTTGAAAATACTGAAAATTTTTGAAATTGGATAGTCGAAATATGTCACTAATTTTAGGACTTAAAAATTCTTTTCTTGTTTCTTTCTTTTCTTTTCATTATTATTATTATTATTATTATTTTGTTTGCTATATCCATATATCTCGAGGAGGTTAAGGTAATTGATTAGAATGTTTTCGGCTCCAAAACAACATTTTCTAGTGGGATTTGTACATGCACCTTCTATCGTATAAATTGACACTTTACATGAGCTTTTTTCCGAAGTGAAATTTGGTTTCAGTTTATCGCTACCAGTTCGTGTGGTACAGAAATTTGAACGGTCATTCTCTCCACCCAAGCCCCAATCCCATTGTGGGATGCCCTACAAAATGTCATTCCTTGTTTTTGGAAAAATTGTGAAATGCCTTGGTTAACCTCCAAGGAATTAAAAGCCTACAACTAATTAAGACACTATAACTTGTTATTGTTTTAATGTTAAAAAAATATATTGTTGTATCTATTTACAAGAACAAAGGAGACACAGAATTATACGAATTATCGAGAGATCAAACTTATGAGCAATATTATGAAGTTGTGGAAGAGAGTGATTGAGTAACGACTATGACATGAAACGAGTGTATTAGAAAATCAGTTCGGCTTTATGCCATGAAGGTCAATAATTAAAACTATTTTTTTATTTAGACAACTGATTGAAAGGGAGATGAAAAGAGACCTCCACATGGCCTTTATTGATTTAAAGAAAACACACGATAAGGTAGCTAGAGAGCTAATTTGATGGGTGTTGGAAAAGATATTAGATATGAAGGATATATTGAGGTGGTGAGAGATATGTATAAGAGATTGCTAACTAGTGTGATGATAGCTAGTAGAGAGACAAGTGAAATTTCAATGACAGTAAGCCTGCATCAAGGGTTTAGCGATGAGCTCGTATATCTTTGTTTTGGTCATAGACGCTTAACTAAGCATCTACATGATGAGGTACAGTGGTGTATGATATTCGTAGATGATATATTTTTGATGGATGAGACGAGGCATCGTCAACGTAAAGTTAGAATTTTGGAGGGATGCTATAGAATCTAAAGATTTTAAAATTAGCCGGACAAAGACAAAATATATGTCATGCAAATTTAATAATAATATGAGTATAAATGATAAAGTAATTAAAATTGATAACCATGAAATTCCCAAAAGAGATTATTTTCAATATTTTGGGTTGATAATCTAGGAGAATAGAGAGATTGAGGATGATGTCAAGTATAGCATTAGAGTTGAGTGGGCAAAGTGAAGATGTGTACATGGAGTTTTATGTGATCACTACATACCAATGAAACTAATTAGGAGGTTTTATAGGATGATGGTAAGACCTGTCATGTTTTATGGGACAAAATGTTGGATGGTCAAGAAACAACCTATCCATAGGATGTATAGTTGAGATGAAGATGTTGAGATAGATGAGTGACAAGGTAATAAAGGATAAAATTAATAATGAATACATAAGAGGAAACTTAGGGGTGGTTCCAATAGATGATAGGATGAAAAAAAGTAGACTCAGTCAGGCTGGTCATATGTAGCGCAGACCAAATACAACACCGGTTAAGGGAAGTGAATTGGTTCAAATGGGAGGCTCTAAAAGGGTAAGAGGAATGCCCAAAAGGACATGGATGGAAGTAATGAGAAGAGATATTGTGAGTTATGTTTGACTGAGAATATGACCCTTGATAGAGGAGAATGATAGAACAAGATTTGTGTAACCGACGTCAAATAATTGGGATACGGCTCATATAATGATGATGATTTCAAATTAATAACTTTCTTAAAATCTTAGTACCCGAAGAGTGTAACTTGGTATTTGAAGTGTATAACTACTCATCTCTCAATGTCAATACTCTTCAAATACTTCCAATAAATTCATCCACACCCAAATTTTTTTAACAAGGCATACAATTATATCCCATTAGAGTAAGGGTTTTTTTATCCGATTTGATACATAGCAACCATGTGGAAAGTGCTATACGCTATCCGTTAAAGCTTTTTAAGATCCACTTAAAATGGTATTTGCCATTATACTCATTTTTATGCTCTCTGCACGTTCGTTTTGGAATCAGGATTTGACTTTGCTTTCAATACTTGTAAATAATGGGTTCTTAGGGTAAATAGAAAATAATTTCCAAAACAATGTTACAAATGAGTATTTTCAAAACAGTTTTACAAATGAATCACCCTTTGACAAGGTGCATTTAGATATATCAAAATCAATGGAAAAATAGAGCCAAAATTTATGTAAAGAAAATCCCTTTATTCCTCCAACTAAAATTTAGAGTGCACTATTTCCACATTATTGAAGGTTTGTTCACCATAAATTTATTTATTTGTCTAGTTACCATTAAGAATATATGCAAAAATGTTAATTTAATAATCAAAGCACCTTGCATAATCATTAAGCGGCAAATCCAACCTTTCAAGATGATAGAGCTGCAACTTTTGAAGTGCAAACACTACGGCAAGAGACATCTTCTGGATTCTACAATTGTTGCATTCAACACTATATAGTGTCAAGAAATTTGGTTTCAATATTGAAAATCTTTGTGATAGATTTAAAATATATTTTCGTTTTTATTTATAAAGTTTAAATCTTCAAAAATAGTGTAGATAGACGCATCTATAAAAACTTGAAAATCTTGAAAATTGACGGTCCAAAAATGCATTACAAAATACACTATTTTCAAAACTTGAAATCCATTTTTTTCTCATGTCTATGCATCTTGATGTCGAGATGATCAATTTGAAGATATTTGGGCATCAAAACAATCTCTTCTAGTGAAATTTTTGAGGTAGGCTCTTATTTGATTGTTTAGAACCTCGGCCCTATGTAAACTTTTCTCATCTAATATTTGACCTAAAGAGTTTTTGACCTCCTGGTAATTGCACATATTCATGTAGCTATGCATGTATCCTATTAATTAGGGTTGGCAATGGGCTGGGTGGGCTTGCCCGACCCTGTCATTTTTTTTATATGTGATTTTGTTTGGCCTGCCAGGCCCAGCCCGCATAGGGCCATGGTGGGGTTGGGCCAGCCCCACGGGCACAAGGGCCAGGGCCTGGCCGGTTGCAAGCCCTAATTCCAATGAAATAAGTTTGAGAATATGTCAAATTTACCCACATTCATCACCATTATGCATCCATTACACCCCACAAACCACTAAAGGCTTTCCTTTATTATTCCCTTCCCCCCCCCTCCCCACAAAAAAAAAAAAGAGAAGAGAAAAACTCTTAAGGACCTTGACAAAGAGTCCTCAACCATGAACCCTCAACATGCATGCTTTTGAAACTAACACCAGAAGAAAATTGCAGCAAAAGCAAATTACCCCAACATGAAAATGACAAAACCCATGAAAACCCCAAGAAAACCCACTTCCACCCCACAATCCAAAATCATTCCCTTGCTGCTTTCACTCTTTGGACTTGGCCTCGAAGAAGATGAAGAAGAAGGAGTAGTTGATGTAGTAGTTGCAGTAGAAGAAGATGAAGAGGGTGATGAGTCTCCTGAATCTGCATCTTTGAATATCTTTGCATCTGGTGAGTCTGGGGATAGTTTTAGTAACGCTGCATATCAATGGTAAAAGAAAAAAAAAGTGAGGCCCATTTTTGTATACACATGAATAAAGATGAGGCCCATTTTTGTAGGACATTCACTAGTAGTAGTAACCAAAAGATAAATTTATGTAGACATGAATAAAGATGCGGTCTTGTATACAGTCTATATTTTGGGTCATATTATATTGAGATCTTGTTTTTTTATGTTTTTTATGTTTTCATTTTACCTTGCTATCAAACATCTAACTTTCGAACCACCCAAAATGGAACAAATTTGATACATTTGAACGGCTAAAAAGGCCGACTTTTAAATCACCCGAATATAGGTTTGGGCAGTTTAAAAGTCCAACTATTGAACTTTCCACCAAACAAAAGAACTGTGGTGCTTAAGCCGTTCGAAAGTTTGACTTTGAAATTAACACTTTGTTTTTTTTGGTGTGTTTTATGAAATTGTTTTGTGTATCCTTGACAGTTTGAAATTTTGACTTTCGAACTACCAAAAAATGCATCTGCTTTTTTAATATTTATATAGTTCACAAATTAGCTTTCAAAAAATTTTGAGCCGGGAACAAATGGAGTTTAGAAAGAAACCAAAACAAAGAGGATCTCAACATAATATAACCCAAAGTGCCGATCATGAGGTAGTAATGCATCCTATTTTTTTCCGTGGTCCATACGTTAATTTCTCTAGTAAAAACGATGATTATGGAACTCCAACAATAACATAATATGCTGCTGTAGTATTTTTTTATTTAAGTTTTCCCAATTGATGGTCTGAAGGATTGGTTATTTTCTTTTTGGAGAATTTGTTTGCACCCTATTTAAAATGAAATTATGTAGAGGTCCAAAATATACAAGGTCCACTAGTCATGTTCCAAACATCAGACCACTGCGTTTTGCTCTGTTATTTTTTCAACTTTGCCCTTTGGTCTAATGTTCCAAACGTCGAATTGCTTTTTTATTTATTTTAAATCTTTTTGAAAGACTGGTCTGAGGTTTCATGCCAATGTTGGCAAATTTACTTCGCTTCAGCTGAAGAGGCCGAAGTCTTCGGATTTTAGGCCTAGACCGAAGCGAAGCGAAGCCTAATTGTTGCCACTTCGATCAGATTTGGTCTGCTTTGGGCCACTTCGGTCAGATTCGAGTTTGCTTTGGGTGGTGGATTCAGCCGAAGCTTCGGCCTCTTCGGCCCAAGCATAGAAATACTATGTAAAAGTATTTTTAATATTTTTTGTAATTTTATTTTTAATGTTTTCATTATTTTTATAGATAAATATATAATTTATTTATATTAAATTAAAAAATAAATCTGAAGTCTTCCCCCAAATCGATCTAAGCACCGAATTGTTTCATTTTTCTTACCAAACCGAAAAAGACCCCGAAGTGAATCTGACAACATTGTTCCATTCATCTGATCATTTGGCTCGTATAAACATTGTGAACGCCAAGTGGTTAATGGTCTAGAACTTGGGATCAATCCCAAGACTATGAAATTCGAAGTCTTAGTTTCGGTCCGAGGTTTGGAACCTCAGACTGCTTTGCTTGCACAAATTGTCATGCAAAAAGTTCGACCTCTACGTAATTTCTTATTTTATTTCTGGTACGGACATAATTTCCCCTTTCTTTTTGCCTCCTTATCAGGATTGCGTACCATAAAACATAAGGCCATTTACATTTAATACAAAATCTCAATAACTTCTAGCTCTCATATGTTATAATTGAAAGGCAGTCACAAAGTTTGTGTGGTTAAAACTTGAAAGCTATTACAAAGTTTGCATTTGTTAGTCGAATACCCTCAATGCCCAATATCACCTTTAACGTCTCAATATAAATGTGTCCTCCATGTATCAAATGTGTCCTCCATGTATCAAAGGTAAAAAGGATAAACGGAAATGGGGTTGAAGTCATGGTGGTAGTATCACCGGAACCTCAACTATCGATAAAAAGGATAAACGGAAATGGGGTTGAAGTCATAGTGGTAGTATCACTAGAACCTCAACTATCGGTATGGGTTTTCATTCCCACCTACACATTCAAAAACCACTAACTATATTTAAAAAATAAAAAATAAACTAGTAACTATATTTTAAAAATAAAAAATAAATAAAAAATAAACATAAAAATAAAAATAAAAATAAAAATAAAAAGAAAAAAAAGAAGATAGAGCAGTAAGTGATACCCTCTCCCCCCTCTCCCCACGACTTAATGCTGAGACTAGGAAGTTAGGAACTACTTTGGTCTCTCTCTCATGGTCAAAAACAGCTTTCAAAAAATCGAACCGGGCATGGAAACTAGACAATGGCTGGTTTCAAGTAATCGGTAAACTGATCGGTTCAACAGGTTTAACTGAACCGGTCTCGGCCTATCTAAAAAGTGCTAAAAAATAAAATAAATATATAAAAATATTTAAAGTATGATTAAACAAACAACATCCAAATAAAATAGAAAATTAGTGAAAAAATAGATTTAAAAAAATCGATTCGTGCCTAAGAGTATTTTTGAATTTTTTTTAAAATATAAAAATAAGTATGGATGGCCAAAACACTTTTCTGTCAAAATGATAAAAAAACACATTACAAACTAGCTGCACTAGGTGAAACTAGAACCAGAGCTCTCTATGTCTTCTTCTTTTTCTCTATTTCATTTTTTCCTTTTTTTTTTTTGCAAGAACCACTATGTCTTACTGCTATATATTTACCAGAGTCCTAGAGGAACCTATGAGTGCACAGAGAGAGTAATGTCACCTGGGCAGTTGGAGACCTTTGCGTCGATGTTACAGAGGGCTGGCATGTGTATCGCCAAGGTGGTGTTGATGGGTAGCCCAGCCGAAGGATCAGCACTCTCCTGTATCAGAACACAGAGACACTTCTCTTTCTCTCTCTTCACCTTCTTCGTCTCCTCACAACACTCTTGTGTCGGTGTCTTTGCACCACCGGTGGCGAATGGCAGGCATGCTGTCAAGCTCTGCATCTCATCTGCACACTCCGTCACATCTTCTGGGTTGGTGCCCATGACCGTGGAAACTGCCATGAAAACCAGCACCACCACCATCGTAACACGCCTGCTCAGCCTTGCCATGGTGGTTGCTTGTTTAGAGAGAGAGAGAAAGGGGGGAAGCAAGCTCAGTGGCTTGCAGAGGTGATGAGAATAGCTGAAGTGAAGCTATAAGGTTTGAAGTTTTCTTTACCGAGGAAGACTCATGTATATATACAGAGAGGGGAGAGAGAGACTTGGTTCTTTTGCTTCATTGGAAAAAGGAAAATGATTTGATATGGCTGCAACCCTATCAAAATAAGTAACTTTACAGCTCATCCAAAATTGTAAAATTGTAATTTTACAAAAAGCCTTACATCTTGGCTTGAAAATTATAAAAAAAATTTAAAAAACAGATTTTCAAGCTTTAAAAATATGATTATTGTAACAAATTATCTAAACGGATTTCGCCCTAAAAATAAGTGCTCATATATTCACGAGATCTGTATTATTTTTTTAGTTTCAAATTTCATTGTTGGTGTTGAAAAATAATTTTAGAGCCATAATGAAGATTTCTGTTGTCGAAAGTGCCTTTTGATCAATAATTTAAAGTAAGATTTTATTTTATTTTCTAAAAAGATATCTAGTTCCATAAAAAAAAGTGCACGTATACTATGCTCCTCTCAAGAGCATAATTTACTTCTACTCCATCGGTTAGGTGACCTACTTTCAAGGATCTTTTCAATATGAAATTTTGGTAACTACCGTATAGCCACTAAATGACTATTCTTTAAAAAAAAATATATAAATTTAAATTTTGAGGTTTCTAATAGATCTCTTCCTCTAAAAGTTGGACGGTTTCTTTTAATCTTGAGACATTCAATTTTTTTTTTTTTCAAATGTTTAGAGGGTGTAATTAAGATTGTTTTTTTTTAATCCATCTGTTAGAGAAGTTATATTCTCAAAATTTTGTGCTCTAAAAGTAATCTTAAGTGGGATTTTAACCGAGGGAATAAATAGACATATAATTCCGAAGGAGTAGAATATCTTTTGAAGAGAAAGGAGCAAAATATTAGGGTGGGAATAAGAATGCCAAATATGAAGAATTTGTCCTCGACTTATAGTGGGAAATGAACAAAATAATATTTATATTTCCAAGTTGAGAGTGAGTTGTTAAATATTGAAGGGCATTGGCTACAACTTTTGCTTCTTTGGGAGCCTCAATATGGTATATTGAGAATTTTGCCAATATAAGAAAATCACATGGTTTTTGTGAAAAAAAGAAAAAAAAAATCACTAGTGCAGACAACTCCCTTTATGGAAAAATTATGTCTGAATTGGAAAATATTTTTAGTATTACAAAAAGCTTCAATTTTTTCCAAAATTTACGAGGTCTTACTTTTTTACCTTTTTATTTTTTTTCAGTTTTGCCCATTCAATGTTTACCATATCAGCATTTTTTTTCTTTCTTTTTTCTTTTTTTTTATCTTTTTGAACTATATGGCTGTATGGCAACTTAGAGGTCAATTAGGACTTCTATGTTAATTTTGGAAAAATCAGAGAATTTCATATTACTAAAAATGTTTACCAATAAGGCCGTAGGTTTCTTTTAATTTTATCTAGAAAAATCATGCAATGAGACATTTTACTTTGATACACAAAAGTCATAATCATTTTTGGCCCTTAGATGTTAAGTCAATTGGCTAGTCCAAAAAGAAAATTTCAAACTTTAGGGCATACCCCTAGTTACCAATAACACATCTGAAATATGATAGCCATGAATAATTGTGACACCTTGTATCAATGATAAATAATCATATAGTATTTTCTCCTTCTATAGAATAACAAATATCCAAAAGATTAAAGGGCATATTTAGTTGAAAATTATAGGTTTTGGGGGTTGAAATAGCCTATCACTTAAGGGACATAATGGTCTTCTTACATTTAAATTGGAGGCATTGAATGTTTTAATATACTGTTAAAGGTTGATTTATCTTTATTTGTTTTGATCAAGATTTACAGTGGGGTGCTTTGAGAAATGGTATGTTACACTTTCCAAGGCAACAGTATTTATGATTGGTATAAGATAACATGGTAGTCCTAAGATAGATAGAATTAAATGTATTTGCCTCACATAGTTCAAGAAAAAATGTTTTAATGTTCATCTTATCTACATGCTTGTATCATGTTTCTTTGGCTGCCACGTGTTCCTGTAAGATTTTTTTTTTCCTTCATTTCGATAGGCACCTGACCATGATTTATATTGCTTACCATTTTATTTAATTTGTTTGATGAAAAAAATACTACAAAAATAAATGAGGCCAAAATGTAGAGACACACTCCATTTAGCCAAATAGGCTAGCTTTTGTTCTTCTACAAAAGAGGCACAAATTGCAGTCAGTGAAGAAACTCCGGCGAGTCTATTCGAACTCGGATGAAGTACTCGGACTTGTGAACCAAGTGAGTTTGAGTTGGGTGTTCCAACTTGGAAATTTAAATAAAAATAATAATTAAATAATAATTTTATTTTCAATATGTTTTTTATATCTTTCATTATTTTTTGGCAAAGATTGGAAAGTTCTTTTTGGCCATGAATACTTCTTTTTTTTTTCCTTTGTCTCTCATTTTTGAATTATTTCTAAAATATCCCCCTTAAAATTTGATTTATTCAAAATCCATTTTTCAATACTTTTTAAATCTCATTTATGTGTTTTGTTTAAGTTTACTTTAAACATGTTTTTATTGTTTTTTCTATATATTTTTTGTATTTTTTAAAGCCCAAAAAGACATGATTGAAAGTAATAAGAAAATATATAGAGGCTTATAGTTTCACTTAGGGTGTGATCTTTAATAGTGCAGAATGATAGACCAAGATTCATATAGCCAACCCGAATTAGTTGGGAAAATACTTAGATGATGATGATGAGACTTTTTATTTCTTTAACGCTTTTTGTCTTGGCCGGGCCCGGGCCGAGTCTGAGTTACTCGGCTTGGCCAAGGTTGAACCCCACGGCCGAGTTGAGCATTCTAAACTTACTGTAGTTTTGAACATTAGAGGTATTGATTATGAGAAAAGGCTTGTCCATATTATCATTTTCTGTAAGCAAATCTTATGAAAAGATACCACCTTAAGTTTTTTTTTCTCCCTCCTTTTTTTTTTTTTCTACTGAGATTTAAATTGGTAATTCTTCATTATATTTGCAATTCTTTGCATCTTTACAAACTTTTAAGGACATTCTTTCTAAGAACGCAAATTTAATTTTTTTTCAAATTATTAACCATTTTCTTTTCATTGTGGATCAATGTTTACAGTAGGCTTAATGTACATTACAATCGCTATAATATACAATCATTAAAAGTAAATTGAATTTTATGCTATGAGACCATTTATCTTTAATATAAGGAAGTCACAATTATATATAATCATCCGATGTGAAATCTGACAACGGGGTGTATCACAATGTTTGAAAAAAACTTCTTTTAAACCTTGAGTCTAGTCAATAAAACAAATACAATCGCCCATTTTTACATCCAATGGTCAAGATATATTGTGATTTCAGCCCTTTGGAAGATGATGATCAACATTCAAACAAATTTGTCACTTCTTGAAAGCCCGGTTTTCTCGCTTGAATCTCTAACTCCTCTTTCTCTCTCTCTGTGCCTGACTGCCTTCTCTCACACCTAATCTGTTTATTCCCTGCAAAACCCCTTCCACTCTCTTAGGACAATGGGTGGAGTGCTCATCTAAATTCCCATTTTCCCGGCCTAAAAATAACCGCATTATATCGGAAATGGAACACAAAGTAATTTAAGATTTCATTTTATATAGAATCATTTTACTTTAGTGCAAGGAGGTCATAATTACTCTAAACAATCAGATATCAGATACTAAAGCTTAGAATATATTGCAAAAGTGAGAATTTTTCTTTTGAATTTTTAGTTTGGTCAGTGGTATATCCTTAGCCACCCAATTTTAAATCTAAAAACCACCGCTAATTATAACCTCCATGTATCAAAGATAAATAGTTTTATTCTATGTGATTCCAAGTAATTCAAGCTCATTTGGTTGAGCTTTTTTAATTTTTATAATTTTTTTTTAAGATCCCAAGCTTGACCACCAAACTTGGGATATATTTATAATTTTTTGTCAATAAGAAATTATATAAATTTTAATGCAGCTCACCTTTTGTGTGAACATTTGAATTTTCAAAACTATATTTGATAAAAAAAAAACTTTTAAAAAATTATGTACACCTATTGTTTAAATTAAAATTTGAGGGGTCTACTTTATAGTTTCTTGTTTGATAGGTGTTTCATCAACCAACTCGCATCCAAACTAGAAGGCTTATAGAAGACATTGGATAAGTAGTAATTTAAATAGAATCATTGTAGCATGAGGGCTGAGGGCCAAGCCACCCTGGACCCAAGGGCAGGGCTAGGCCAGAGGCAAGACAAGGCTGGTACTAGGCATGAAGGGAACAAGGCTAGGCTAAGGCGATGGCCTGGCCTACGCCCAGCCCTTCGCTAGCCTAAATGCCATTAGAGATGAGACGTGTACAAGGTTTGGCATAAACAACCGAGCATTTATGACAATCATAAATAATGCTCGGGATAGGAGGTACAACGGAAGTGAGACAGAAGAGGATTTTGAGGCTGACAATTATTAAAATCTTTGATTCATTTGTAGTAGGAGGGAGAGCGGGCAACTGACCAGGCCAGCCCTAGCCCTAGCCCTAGCCCTAGCTTGTCCCTGATACCCACAAAGATGCCCTTGGCCCTATCCCTATCAGGGTCAAGCTAGGCCTGGACCCGGCCGGGGTGGGGTTGTGGAATGGGCTGGTGGTGATGGGGGTATGACAAGGTAAAAGGTAGTTTGGAAGAGGAGGTGGGTGATGGTGATGGGGGTATGAATGGAAGATGATGCTGGTGGGGTGTGGAGAAGTAATGGTTAACATGATGGTGGTGGTGGGTAATAGGTAATAGGGCAGTAATAAGGACCCCTGATATCGCCTTTTTTTTCTTGGGCTTGTTTGTTGCATTGTGCAAGCCCCACATAAACTGCACTTGAAGACAACAAATTGAATCTTGGAAGATGTGCTCTTTACTCTTGATATGAGCCTTATTTTCAAGGAGGAAGATGTATTTGAATTAAATGGATTTTCTGATGCTGATTTGGG